CTCTGGGGCAGCACCAGCATTGAGATCGAAGGTCAAACCTGGTTCTTGGCTTCTCTGTCCTCCCTCAATTGGAAGTTTTCTCTCTGTGTGTACTGTACTGAAGATGTTAGGGATTACTTAAAGTGGCCAAGCTCAATGTACCTTTTCTTATTTTCTTGTACCATCTAGGTGGTTCCCTTAGGCATTAAGAAGGTATTTTCATGCATACAGATGTTCAGTCTGATGTTGGGGAGGGCTGGGTTGGGGAATAATTACAGGATTGCTTTCAAATCAGCTCTTTCCTGTATTAAAAATATATTTTTAAATGTATTCTTTGCTTTTCTAGAATAATAAGCACGCATTTTTGTTTTTGCCCACATTATTCACCTCCACCCAGGCACAGTCTCTTGATGATTTTAACACCTGTGAGGGGGGAGATTGTTGTTGTTCTCTTAAATAGAGGGGTGCCCCTGGGTAGAAAAAAGCAAGGAGAGAGAAAAGGGAGGCACCAACTAGAGAACAATAAGTAGCAATGCCGGACATGCAGGCAGGGTTTAGAACAGCATGCAGCCCAAACCTCCCCATGCTGACTGAGGGAGGGGATGACTTGTACCTTTCTTCTTAGAAGTTCAATGGAACAGAGATCCTGTAGGGCATTTCCTATCAGCGTTCAAGGAAGGAGGTCCAGGGGAGAGCCCTGCAGATAAAGACTGGGCAGTGCTGATGAAAGACCTTCGTTGATGCTTAGGGAAAAACAGACATGGAAGGATGACCAGAGACATCCAGAAGGGGACAACAGGGCAGACACCAGATGTGGCAAGGCGACTTCCTAATGTCAGGAAGCTCTCTTCTCTTCACCTCCTTAGTCTTATGCTCAGAGTACACCTTTGCCTCCTTTTGGTCCTGGCCCTGAAATAAAGTGACTTTTCAAGTACAGAGGGGGCTATGAGGTCTCCCTCAATGCGGCTGACCCCAGTTTGACCTCCTGTTTGGTGACAGGACAGAAGCCACTCCCACAGGTGTTCTCTGACTGCCCCACATGCTGTGGTTCACATGTGCTAAGTGAAAATACATAATCAATCAATCAATCAATGAAAAGAGATAGAGGGAGAAAAGTATGAAACATAGGAAAGTAAACAAATAGTGGGAACTAGGCAAAACACAGAGAGCATGATAGACGAGAATTGTCAGAATTACTGTGAGAAGTGGGGAAACCAGCATGTCACTTCTGCTGATCAGGGTAAGACATCCCCTCGGTGAAATGACCCTGTAATCCCCTCAGATCACCAGGGCCTATTTTATCTTGAGTTTCACTATAAAAGATCTGCTACGATGTATATAATATTCTGTCTGTGTATATGCCTGAAGGCCAGAACAGGGCGCCAGACCTCTTTACAGATGGTTGTGAGCCACCATGTGGTTGCTGGGAATTGAACTCAGAACCTTTGGAAGAGCAGGCAATGCTCTTAACCACTGAGCCATCTCTCCAGATCACTTCCTACGTACCCCAGCAGCACAGACATTAAGGGCAACATTGAATAAATGGGACCTCCTGAAACTGAGAAGCATCTATAAAGCAAAGGACACTGTCACTAAAACAAAAAGGCAACCCACTGATTGGGAGAAGATCTTCACCAACTCCGCAACTGACAAAGGTCTGATCTCCAAAATATATAAAGAACTCAAGAAACTAGACCATAAAAGGCTAATCAACCCAATTATAAAATGGGGCACTGAGCTGAACAGAGAATTCTCAACAGAAGAAGTTCAAATGGCCAAAAGACACTTAAGGTCATGCTCAACTTCCTTAGAGATCAGGGAAATGCAAATCAAGACAACTTTAAGATACCATCTTACACCTGTCAGAATGGCTAAAATCAAAAACACCAATGATAGCCTTTGCTGGAGAGGTTGTGGAGAAAGGGGTATACTCACCCATTGCTGATGGGAATGCAAACTTGTGCAAGCACTCTGGAAAGCAGTGTGGCGGTTTCTCAGGAAATTCAGGATCAACCTACCCTTGGACCCAGCAATACCACTCTTGGGACTATACCCAAGAGAGGCCCTATCATACAACAAAAGTACATGCTCAACTATGTTCATAGCAGCATTGTTTGTAATAGCCAGAACCTGGAAACAACCTAGATGCCCTTCAATAGAAGAATGGATGAAGAAAGTATGGAATATATACATATTAGAGTATTACTCAGCAGTAAAAAACAAGGACTTCTTGAATTTTGCATACAAATGGATGGAAATAGAAAATACTATCCTGAGTGAGGTAAGCCAGACCCAAAAAGAGGAACATGGGATGCACTCACTCATATTTGGTTTCTAGCCATAAATAAAGGACATTGAGCTTATAATTTGTGATCCTAGAGAAGCTAAATAAGAAGGTGAATCCAAAGACAAACACATAGGCATCCTCCTGAATATTAACCTTCATCAGGCGATGAAAGGAGACAAAGACAGAGACCCACATTGGAGCACCGGACAGAAATCTCAAGGTCCAAATCAGGAGCAGAAGGAGAGGGAGAACGAGCAAGGAACTCAGGACCGCGAGGGGTGCACCCACACACTGAGACAATGGGGATGTTCTATCAGGAACTCACCAAGGCCAGCTGGCCTGGGTCTGAAAAGCATGGGATAAATCTGGACTAGCTGAACATAGTGGACAATGAGGAATACTGAGAACTCAAGAACAATCGCAGTGGGTTTTTGATCCTACTGCATGTACTGGCTTTGGGGGAGCCTAGGCAGTTTGGATGCTCACCTTACTAGACCTGGATAGAGGTGGGTGGTCCTTGGGCTTCCCACAGGTCAGGGAACCCTGATTGCTCTAGGAGCAGATGAGAGAGGGGGACTTGATCAGGGGAAGGGGAGGGAAATGGGAGGTGGTGGCAGGGAGGATGCAGAAATCCTTAATAAATAAATAAATTAAAAAAAAAAGATCTGCTACTTCCTAAACACACATCTCTGGCCCAGGCTTCCCCTCTTGGCTCATTTTCCCAAGTGCCTAGAAACATTCCAAAGACCCAACAGACGTCTCTATGTGAAGACTGTTTTGGTATCTTCTGTTCAATAATATAACAGACCACCTCCCACGCCCCACGGCTTCTCTAACCTCATTTGGTCCTGTTTTAATTACAATTTTCATCCTTCTCTAGCCTGCCTGTGTGTGCATGCTCAAGCCTAGTCACCCTACGTTGGACCCCATCATACTCATTTAAACTAGAAGAACAGACTTTTGTCTGACTTTGCCCTTCTCATGCTGTTCCCTCCAAATTTCTTTTCTTCTGCCAAAGAAAAATCTTCCAAGAATGAATTGGAATGGAGACATGGCTTACATTATGATGACTGGCTGCTCTGGCAGAGGACCCAGAATTGGTTCCTAGCAACCACAACCATCTCTAACTCCAGTTCCGGGGAATCTGACACCCTTTTCTGACCCCCTCAGAAACTGCATGCACAAACCACCACACAGAGAAAGCACTCCCCTACATAAAGCAAACATAAAATAGATGAAAACCAGTTCCTGAGGCTTTTAGAGCCCAGTGCCTTCTGCAGCTCTCAGCACTCAGCACTGTCAGAGTGACAATGGAGGTTGGCATCCACACTCCTGTCCCCATCACTTGTCTCTTACCTTAGCACCACATCCCACCACACCTACTCTCTGTAGGCTCCTGCATTTGCTATGCCCTGTCTCTGCAGCTTCTGCTGGTTCTGGAAACTGTGCGATTTGTGGCAACAGTTGGATGTAATCTCTGAAGTTTGAAAATGCGTATCCCAGAGTTCAACAATGACATTCCTCAGCAGAGGAGAGGAGAAATGTGTGGTCATCAGAAGACACATGAAAGGCTGAGTGTAATACATGCACTCAGGAGGAGGGAGAGGAATAGATCAGGAGTTCTAGGTCATCCTTGGCTAAGTAATTTGAGGCAAGCCTTGGCTACAATGCAACCCTGTCTCAAAACAAATTACTCAAAACACAAATAAGAACGAATTCTCCCAGCAGTGTTTATCTTAAAAAACAAATAATTAAAGCATGGTAAGTCAGCATATTTTTATAATAACAAAAATAATAATACAGAAGAATCTCACAAACATATTAATACCCATATGTAACTTATATATACACACATGTACATATATCAATCTGGGAGTGTTTGACTTCTTTGAGAACAGAGATGTTAAAATGGTTATAATTTCTTTTATATTGGTTATATAGGCATCAAAATTAATTTAGGCTTTGAAACTGGAGATGATAGTTAACTTTGAGATTTACTGTAGGGACAGTGGAATGTGTCACCTAGAGGCCTCTGGGATGTCGGTCATCTGCTTTTCTAATCCAAGTGATAGTTTCTCTTTGCAATCATTTAAATACCACTTTTATATATAAATATTAATCTGCAGTTAAAACTTTAATTTTGTCTTTATTTATTTTTTTGAAAGGGGGTCTTGCTATGTAGCCCAGGTTGCCCTTGAACTTAACATTCCTCCAGTCTTAGCATTCAAAGTGCAGGGTTTGCAGGTGTGTGTAGCCCTGCCTGGTTAGTTTTTAATCTTTAAAATATCAAACCAACTATCTATCCAAGGAGTCAGTGGATAGAAGGGAAGGGAAGAACATAGTGGGAGGGAGATTGCGGGGAGAGGGTTAATCATGTATTCAAAATGATCTTCTAGGGAGTTAAATGAAAATTCTTTGAGTGTATATGTGCATGTTTGTGTGTATACACATGTACTGGTCTGCATGTGCTTGTGTGCATATGTGTGCTGAGGCCAGGGATCAGCCTCTGGTTGTGTTGTGCTTTGTAGCTGGACTTGGCTGACTAGTCTAGACTGCCTGTCTGGCCAGTGATGCCCCGGGACCCACCTGTCTCTATCTCCTGTGTGCTGGGATTGCAAATGGATGCCACGTTAGTGTGATTTTTACGTGGATCATGCTTGCACAGCAATCACTTTGCAGCCTGAACTGACTCCTCAGTTCCTGAAAATAACTTATGCATTGTAATTTGGACCAGGAGCAGAGATACCCAGACATGGAATCAAAATTTACCATTGTTCTGTGAATCCGGTAAATATAAAGCAAGAAAATTCTTCAGTTTTCTTGAGCAGTGAACATCAGACCCACACAAGGACCGACCACAATCAGGCCTCTGAGGTAATAGGTAAGGAGGACTGACAGAATTGCTACAGGTTCCCAGGCAAGAGGCTTAAACAAGTCATCATGGTCCTTTGGGGACAGGACAAGTAGCCAAGTGGAGGCAGGAAGGGAAAGAGGCCCACCAAAGCCAACCTCCACCTTAGCAGAAGGAGCTGGGGAAAATTAAAGGCAGAAATGAGAAATGGAGGCTAATAAATGGTGAGGCCAGGCTTTCTTTTCTAAATTAAGAGAAGGCAGGTGGAGGGAGGGTTGGTAGGAGTTAAGAAGAGAGAAAAAATATCAGGGAACCAAAATACGTGTGAGAATAAATGGGCAGGGAAGCATACCAAGGACCAAGAGGTTCATCGCTGGGCACAGATGAAGAACAGGAGGATGAACAGAGCCAAGAAGAAAGCTAAGGAGCAAAGTAGGAGTGAAAAAGAGGTAGGTGAGGGTGTGGGGAAGTGAGAACCAGAATGAGGGTACAGACAAGATGCTTGTCAGTTCCTAGGAGGGACCACCTCTATGGTCAGTTGTTGGTTCACAGCCTTAAAGGAAAGGTGTACAGCCTGGAGTTAACTATTCAGGTCTTCTTAGTGTTCACACTCAGGTGTTCCCTACCGTGTGTGCCTGCTGTCACCCCTAAGGTGTTGCGGGATATTTGATCACACTGAGTGAAGATGTGTCACTGTTTTTCCTCACCTGTGTAAAGCACCTTCGGATTGGTTTAATAAAGAGCTGAATGGCCAATAAATAGGCTGGAGACAACAGGCAGCTCTTCTGGGCTGAGATGGAAACTCAGTGGAAGAATCTCAGAGGTGGGGATTTTCCAGTCAAGTACAGAGGAAGGGGGAAGTACTGTACTGAGGAAAGGCAATGAGCCATGTGGCAAAACATAGATTAAACAGGTTAAAGTTTTAAAAGCTATTTGGGAACAAGCTTAAGATAAGGACAAGATTTCATAATTAATATGAAGTCTCTGTATTATTATTTGGGAACTGGCAGTCCAAAAGAGTTCAACTCCACTAAAATGCTTAAGGCAGTTTTCTTTCTTTCCTTCGTGCAGACCTTACCGGAGATAATTCTGATGATGAAAACAGCTGCTCAGAGGAATCCACCTCAGTCACCTGCCAGTCAAGTAAGTACGCCCAGAGAGCAAGACAGGCTGTAGGCATCTGCTCTCAAGGTACTATTTTATGATGGGTGTTGTTCTGTGTCTGTTCTGTGTGATGGATCCCTGAAACCTGTTCTGTCCATTGAATTTCACTTGATTCTTTTGGAAAATGCAGGGAAATCATGGCATACACTTATCCTATTAGTGGATAGAATCATCCATTTTTAACACAATAGAAACAGGCATGTGTATGTGTGTGTGTGTGCATATGTGTGCGAATGCACACTTGGGCATAAGTTCATGTGTACAAGTACTGGTGTGCATGTTCATGGAGGTCAGAAGACAATCCCAGGTGCTCTTCCTCACCTTCCACTTTGTTTGAGACCTAACCTCTTGTTCATTGACATGTATGCCAGGCTAGCTGGACCACAGTCTTCCACGGATTCTGTCTTGACTACCTGTCCTGCTGTATGGACCCTAGGATTACAGTCCATTCTACAGTGTCTGACTGCACATCTTGGCTTCAGGTCCTCATGCTTGTACAACAAGCACTTTAACCACTGAGCCATCCCTCTGGCCTCAATGAGTTTGTTTTGTAAACTAATTATCATGTTTACTAAGTGGTAGACTCATCCAATGATTTCTATAGAAACAAAAAGGCTTCCTGCTCCTTTATTGGAAGATCATACTTCCTCTAAGCAGAAACTTAGACAAGAGTCCAAAAGCAAGTCATTCAGCCATGTGGTTAAGTAGACAGAAATAGAGGCTCAAGACAAAACATTCTGAAACCCAAAGTACTGTTCCTGAAAAATTCTTCATCAAGTCATGGCTTTTGGAGCGATTTTTCAAAAGAGTTTATAAATAATGTGTACTTCTTTCTTTATAACATCCTTAAAAGAACAACTAGAACAGACATAGACATCCTTTTCTCCTAGGGAAAAAAAACAGTCACAAATGATGTGTGTCTATGTATTCTCCAAAGTCTAATGGAGTATTAGACTGTCATCCTGGGTACTGAGTAGTTTCTGTCTTAAACTGTGGGATAGGAAGGTTTCTGGGTGTGATGTCATGAACCTGTAAGCCAGCACTCTGGGGGTGGAGCCAGGAGTATCAGAGGCTCATGGTCATTCTAGGCTGCACAGGACTCTCTCTCACACACAAACACAGAAACACACACGGAGGGGGGGACTAGAAAGGCTTGATTATCTCAGTCCTATCTGGGTTGTTTGAAGATTAAGATTTTTTTCTTTTTTTTTAATTTATTTATTTATTTTTTTTATTGAGAAAAAGAAAAAAAACAAATTTCCTCCTCCTCCCAGCCTCCCATTTCCCTCCCCCTCCTTCCACCCTTCTCCCCCTCCTCCCACCCTTCTCCCCCTCCCCCCACTCCTCTCCCCCTCCCTCTCCAGCCCAAAGAGCAGCCAGGGTTCCCTGCCCTGTGGTAAGTCCTAGGTCCTCCCCCCTCCGTCCATTTCTAGGAAGGTGAACATCCAAACTGGCTAGGCTCCCACAAAGCCAGCACATTACGTAGGTTCAAAACCCCGTGCCATTGTCCTTGGGTTCTCATCAGCCCTCATTGTTCGCCATGCTCAGAGAGTCCAGTTTTATCCCATGCTTTTTCAGTCACAGACCAGCTGGCCTTGGTGAGCTCCCAATAGATCAGCTCCACTGTCTCAGTGGGTGGGTGCTCCCCTCGCGGTCCCGACTTCTTTGCTCATGTTCTCCCTCCTTCTTCTCCTCATTGGGACCTTGGGGGCTCAGTCCAGTGCTCCAGTGTGGGTCTCTGTCTCCATCCATCACCAGATGAAGGTTATATGATGATATGCAAGATATTCGTCAGTATTGCTCTAGGATATGGTCATTTCAGGTTCCCTATCCTCAGCTGCCCAAGGAACTAACTGGGGACCTCGGCTTGGGCATCTGGGAGCCACTCTAGGTTCAAGTCTCTTGCCAACCCTAAGGTGGCTCCCTTAACTAAGAATTGTGCTTCCGTGCTCCCCTATCCAACCTTCCTTTATCCCAATCCTCCTTTTTCCCCAAGTTCCCCCATTTTCCCCTTCTCCCTTTTCTCTCCCCATCTCCCCTTACACCCATCCCACCCCACCCCCAAGATCTCAATTTTCTCCCCGACAATTTTGTCTACTTCCCATAGCCAAGAGGACAACTATATGCTTTTCCTTTGGTTCACCTTCTTACTTAGCTTCTTTGGGATCACCAATTGTAGACTCCGTGACCCTTGTTTATGGCTAGAAACCAATTATGAGTGAGTACATCCCATATTCATCTTTTTGGGTCTGGGTTACCTCACTCAGGATAGTGTTTTCTATTTCCATCCATTTGCATGCAAAATTTGAGAAGTCATTGTTTTTTACCGCAGCATAGTACTCTAATGTGTAGATATTCCATACTTTCTTCATCCATTCTTCCATTGAAGGGCATCTAGGTTGTTTCCAGGTTCTGGCTATCACAAACAATGCTGCTATGAACATAGTTGAGCATATACTTTTGTTGTATGATAGGGCATCTCTTGGGTATATTCCCAAGAGTGGTATTGCTTGGTCCAGGGGTAGGTTGATCCCGAATTTCCTGAGAAACCGCCACACTGTTTTCCAAAGTGGTTGCACAAGTTTGCATTCCCATCAGCAATGGATGAGTGTACCCCTTTCTCCACAACCTCTCCAGCAAAGGCTATCATTGGTGTTATAGATTTTAGCTACTCTGACAGGTGTAAGATGGTATCTTAAAGTTGTCTTGATTTGCATTTCCCTGATCGCTAAGGAAGTTGAGCATGACCTTAAGAGTCTTTTGGCCATTTGAACTTCTTTTGTTGAGAATTCTCTGTTCAGCTCAGTGCCCCATTTTATAATTGGGTTGATTAGCCTATTACAGTCTAGTTTATTGAGTTCTTTCTATATTTTGGAGATCAGACCTTTGTCAGTTGCGGGGTTGGTGAAGATCTTCTCCCAGTCAGTGGGTTGCCTTTGTGTCTTAGTGACAGTGTCCTTTCCTTTACAGAAGCTTCTCAGTCTCAGGAGGTCCCATTTATTCAATGAAGCCCTTAGTGTCTGTGATGCTGGGGTTATACGTAGGAAGTGGTCTCCTGTGCCCATGTGTTGTAGAGCACTTCCCAATTTCTCTTCTATCAGGTTCATTTTGTTCGGACTGATATTGAGGTCTTTAATCCATTTGGACTTGAGTTTTGTGCATGGTGATAGATACGGATCTATTTTCATTCTTCTACAGATTGACATCCAGTTTTGCCAGCACAATTTGTTGAAGATGCTCTCTTTTTTCCATTGTATACTTTTAGCTCCTTTATCGAAAATCAGGTGTTCATAGGTTTGTGGGTTAAAGTGAAGATTAAGATTCTATAGTGTGCCCCTTGGTGATTCCTTTCCTATATCCAGAAGACTTGAGGCATGTACTTCCTCAGGGAAAACACACTAGGACAAAACCTGAGGTCAAATGAAAATGTGTCTTGGTCTTAAGGTTACAAAAGAACACACTTTGAAAAGGTGCCTTCATTTTAGTTGTTCACCTGTTTTTTGTTTGTTTATTTTTGCTTTTTTGTGGGTTTCTTTTGTTTGGTTTTTAGTTTTTATTTTTTCAAGACAAGGTTTCTCTGTAGGTTTGGAGCCTGTCCTGGACCCAGCCTTGTAGACCGGGCTGGCTTCAAACTCATAGAGATCTGCATGCCTCTACCTCCCTAAATACCAGGATAAAAGGCATGTGTTACCACTGCCTGGCTTTCATGTATCTTTTAAAAGTAGAAATGTGTTTTAGGTTTTAGACTACAAATACTCTCTGTGTCTATGGTTCAAAAGCAAAATAATATTTTTCATAGAAATGTGGGAAGTATCAGATCAATGGCAATTGTTCAACATAAGATTTTCAAGGTCTGTCTGTGTGTGTGTGTGTGTGTGTGTGTGTGTGTGTGTGCATTTACATGTGTGTGTACTTGTAGAGGCCAGAGGTCAGTATCAGGTGCTACTCTTAAAGAGACATTCACCTTGCTTTTTGATAGAGGGTCTCTCGTGGCGGGGGCGGGGGGTGTTAAAACTCACCAATTTAGCTACACTGTCTAGCCAATGAATCTCTCTAGCTCTAGGATTGCATGTGTGAGTCACCATGGATTGTAGAGATCCAACTCATCTCTTCATGCTTGTGTGTCAAGAACCTTACCAACGGAACTATCTCTTCAGGCTCTTCAACATAAGACTTTCCAAGTTTCCCTAGAAAAATTACAAGAGATAATGGGAATTCAAAAAGATGAGTAAGAATGGGGTGGGGTGAGTAGGAAGTCAAGTCTTAGGAAGAAAAAGTCCAGGGGATTTCAGATGGTCCCTTGACAGTGAATTGCATCTGCCTTAGTCATCAAAATGGGGTTTCACTAACTTACTGTTCTGGTAATTTAGAAAGCAGACCCATGTGCATGGATGGAGGCCAAGCTTTTTAAGCAGATTCAGGGTATTTCTAAAATTTCTTATTAGGGAATTTCCAACTAAATTGATTTCTTGTTCACAACCAGGGGATTCCAGATAATTCTACTATTTGGTACAGTGATCAATATTCATGACTTAGAATCAAATGAGGGAAAGGGGGCCTGTGAAATCACATGCTCAGGACACTAGATTGTACCAGAAGTTGGCTAGAATTGCAACTTCTAGACTATGAGATGTCCAAATTGAACTGTAATGGCTCAAATTGTAATCCAAGCATTCTCTGTAAGTCTTGATGCTGCAACTCTAGGGCACCACTTTTTGGATTCTTCTTCTCTAGTCTTATCAAAAATCCAAACTCACCAGAGAATGATTTATCTGGATAAGCCCTGCTGAGAGATAAAATGAAATATAGCAAAAATAAATAAATAAATAAACTAGTAAAAGGATACTCTCTTTACTCCATGAGATTGACCTATTAATACTAAAGAGTTGAAATAGTGAATTTAGTTTCTGCAGTGGCTCTATAGTTTATAGAGTATAATAAGAATAGAATTCTTTTGTTTATTGATAACACTGTCATTT